TGCCGCGGGTCTTGAAGAAGTCGAGGTAGCTGCTGTTCTTGGTTGATTCCATCTCGAGGCGGATGGTCTCCTTGATCTCGCGGAACTCGAACTGAACGGTAGGGTGGTTGGGGTCGCCGTTGGCGTGGTACTTGGCGAGAATGTGGAGGGCCTCGTCGTGCTTGTCCTTGGCGATGAGGAAACGGGGAGACTCGGGAACCCACCAGATACCGAGAAGCTGGATGATGGAGGGGAAAGCCTGGAGCAGGGCGGGAATGCGCCATGACCAGTCGTTGTTGATGTAGTTAGTGCCAAAGGCCAGCCAGGAGACGACAAGGGCACCAACGTTCCACAAGCAGTTGTAGATGGTGGTGAGACGGGCGCGGTGCTGAGGATGGGCGAGCTCGGTAAGAAGCATGGGGGAGGCGATCTGGGCGAGGGAGTTGCCAAAGCCGAGCATGGTGCGGCCGCCCATAAATGTATCGAGGTTCTTGGCGGTGGCCTGGAGGACGGCACCGACGATCATGATAACGCAGCCGATGATGATGGGGGTTTTGCGGCCGAAGTTGTCGGTAAGGATGGGGCTGTATAGTGAGGGTATCGAGTCAGTTTCATCGAATCTGCCATGTGTTGCAATCCTCGTGAAGACTTACACAAAGGGGATGGAGCCAATGGAACCAATCTGGTAGAGAGCACCGAGCAGACCAAGCTCGGATCCTCGCGGGTCGCCAAAGTACTTAATCCAGGTCTCGAAGTTCTGCACCGAGTTGAAGAACATGCTGTGGGGAAGATAAGCGTCAGCAAGTTGTGCTTCTTGGATGTATCGAATTCCCTTACCCATCGTAACCGGTGGTGGCCGAAGCAATGCAAAGAATGAAGGCGTAAAAGTAGAGCTTGCGAAGGCCGGGGTCCTTCTTCCAGTCAACCCTCTCAAACTGAGGAGCCTCCTCTTGTATCTGATTGAGATCGACGGCCTGAGCCACGGGCTTCTTGTTGAAGATGCCCATTTTGAATGTGATGATGTTGTCTTGTCTGGGTCGAATGATACAGCTGGTCCGTTCCCCTGAGACAAGTGGAGGAGAGGCTGATGGGGAAAAGGAAAGACACACAACCAGGCGTCAGGTCATATGGGGGAGGGAATGGGGGTTATATAACAAGCTGGTGGTAGCTTTGACATTTGACGGATTCGAATGGTTCATCCATACGGAGAATGACCCAGACGGGCAGCCGGACCGGGAGCGTCTTCCCATGCATGCTGCTGAGTACGTACCAAGGAGGATTAGCTTGGAGATTTTGGGAGTGTACATTGACAGGTACTGTGTAGCCAGGGGTCAGGGGGTGGGCAACCATCAGGCAGGGGGTGGGAAAGGGAAAGGGAAAACCAGACCATTCAGAACCAGTCAGGACGAGCCAAACAGCTGCACCAAAGCTTAACCAATCCAACATCTTGGCCGGCCGCCGCCTCCACGAGTCTCCGCTTCCGGCTGTTGGTGTGGTGTCTTTAGAGGCTGCCTTTCCTGGGGTAGTGCCAAGGGACTAGACTTAGCACACAGGCTAGGTTACTCCATCCCCGATGCTTGAGTTGGGTGGTTCATGAAAGAAGGTTGTTGTCGTCGACCCGGATCACCGCTTGTGAAATCTAGGGTTGCGGGTTTCCGGTAGCTTGCCATTCCCAGTCGAATCCAGGCCAAGCACCAGCAGTCAAGGGTGTTCAGGGAGAGAGTGAAGTCAAAAAGTGTCTTCCACTCTCACATGCCGTATGTAGTGTACATATCCCTGTGTGGGGAACACGGTGGATGTAACCTCTCCTCCCCGACCTTCCCCAACTTTTGTGGCCTGGCTTACTCCACCTCCACAATCGTCACCCCGGTCTGCCCCCAGTGTGTCCCTTTCTGGCCCAGTGTCTTTCCTCCTCGTTTTCCGTTGCCGAGCACAAGTTCATCGTAAGTTTGGAGCAGAACTTTGAACGAGCGTTGGCTTGACGGCTGGCTCTTGTTCTCCATGGTCTCCAAAGTCTCTAGAATTCACTGTCGGGACAACCACCTCAAGGCCACAAGGAGCTATCATGGTAGAGCAAGAAGAATCTGGCATCCCCATCTTGGGTTCATACACTAGATGACCCGTCGTAGCATTGGGCAAGGACATGGACCGGTTCTGCTGCGACTTTGACTGCTGTCGTGCCTGTGTACCGAAACTCGACCACATTCGAGACAGTGCAACTCGACGAACAACGGCACAGGTATAAGCGAGTCCAGTGGTAGTGAACGGTGAATCGAATGGCTGTTTTGGAACGGCCAACCAGACGACAGCGGCATAGGCGGACCGAATCTGCCATGGCACATCAGCCAGGTCTCGCCAAGCGGATGCATCAGATGTGTGTTCGAGTTCGGTGGCGTTTGTCGAGGCGTCTTTATCTTCTGTCTTTTTGAGGATGTACTTTGCTCGACCCTATGGCGGGCGCCGTCCCGATGAATACTCACATTGAGGTTTTCCTCCGGGTCGAGTATCTCGCGGTGCCGGATATGACCTGTACGGGCGCGGCACACAACGACCAACGCCGCCGTAGAATGATATAGTCACGGGGCGCGATCCGGGTCGAACGGGCCCAATGTTGCCGTGTTTTTGCCGGCCTGGTCTGGAGGGTTTCGTGCCTCGCCTGCTCGCTTGCTCAACCAACTGCATCAGTATTTGCCAGCGACGGGCACCGACATGGACTAGCTATGCCTCCCGCGGCGGCGCGTATTGCCATGTTTAAGCTATTTTTCAATATCAGGCAGAATGTAGAAATCTGGGATGTCCCTTGCTTGTTAGATCTAGGACGTCCCACGTCGGGACAGGATGTACTGCGTAGATTGAGCATGCTGATCCGCTTGACAGGTCATGCTACTGCAGATGAAGTGCGATGCGGAAAGTAGTTATGTACACTACTCGACGCTAGACGCTTCACGATAGCAGGCCTACAGTGGGCTACAGCGGGAATCACACACGGCTTGTGACGGCGTCGAGGTGTGGTACAACCGGAGATTTGTGATTCTGGATCTCAAGGGGCCAGGGTCGTCGGCCGTTCCAGCGTACACAGGATCCAATTGATCATCAGATGGCATCGCCGTGGATGTTGGTCGAGATGGCGGCAACGGCGAAGATGGTGTATCCTATAGGTGACCATGATGCGGATTTCTCAATTGTCGGCAAGAGAGCCGCATGGTATGCACGCCCAGCTCATCGAGACTTTGTGACTTGTGGGGAATCCTGAACGACGCCACCACGTTTCACTTGGGAAGTAGTTTACTGCGTGGGGTTCAGAAGGGAGGTCAACCGACATGTGAGCAGGCGAGCCTGACAGGTGGACAGGAAGGATTTTCCGCAAACCCGGCCCAAGAAGCGCCACAGAAGGCCGCCAGCGAGAGGCAGCTGCCGGTAGGCTACCGAACACTGTTGTTGAGACAGTGTTAGCCTTCATCTGGTGATCACGAGATCCGGGTCTTGACCGTATCAAGACAAGCATGTTTGCTTCTTCGAGCTCTCACCCCAATTCCCCAGCTCCCCAGGTTTTCTTTCCCCAGCTTCCCCAGCTCTCCCCAAGCTGCCAGCCAGCAATACCCCAGAACATCGGATCAGACGAGGACAGTGCGCGATGTACCTCTGTCATGAAGGGAGGGTGGGAGCAAGGGAAGATTATCCGTCTTGGCACGCATTTAGCCTGAAGTGCCCCTTGGCCGTTGATGGCGAGGCATGTTGACGAATGGGCGATGCTTTTGCCTTTTGGAGGTGAACGATGTTGGTCTTGGCTTTTTTTCCGTCTGAGGCCCAGCCGCGACATCGTTGGTTTTCCATGCTCGCAGATTCGGGACGAGGACCGACAATTTCTGGTTATTCTTCTGAGAGTAAATTTGACGATGATGGAGTGTGGACTCCACGAGTGGTCCAGTGATGGACGAAGGGCAATGGACATTGAACTGGAACTCTTTCCGGCCGAGGGAACAAGACCGAGTGGATCGTGGATAAACACGCCAAACACGCGGCTATCCACTGTAGCTTCCCCACCTCATCGGCAGTGAACGTTGGCGATGGATGATGGCATTATGGTATCATGGTCTCTGACACTCGCGGTGTCCGACTCCACTGTAGACAGAAAAATAAACAGGATGAACCGTACGGTGAAGATCAAGTAAACAAACCCCGGCTACCAAGCGAGACCAACAGTTGATAGGATAGGCTGTCATGTTGTCAGACCTTGAGACAATGGAGGCAAGTGTCATAATTGCCAGACAAATGAGAGTCTGTATCTGGACCCAAGGACGCGGACCTCTGGGAGAAGAGGGTGAGTCGATATCGATGTATTGACTCGGAATGAAGGACTCTTCAAGACAGCATTTGACACAGTGGAAAAAATACTTTGCCTCCCAAAGGAAACCCCAGTCGGACCAAGCTTGGGGAAAGGCGGGGAAATGGGATGGGGGAAGGCGAATGATGGGGAAGAGAGTCTGGAGAAGGAAAAAGTGGCAGACGGAGAAATCTGGGGAGAAGATTGGAGAGAGTCGGCATTTCGGGAGGGATTCCGAAAGAGGGACAAGGGAAGAGGGCGCACAGACCACCTACTCGCTTGGTTGGTTTGTGGTGTCTGTCACATGATCGCGAATGTGGCATATTCCGGGGCACATGGAGTCAACGAGAAATGTGTCAAATCGTGAAAATCATGGATTGTTTACTGTGATCATGTTATGCTATGGAAAGTGTTGCTGGTGGAAATAAGGGAGTCAGTGATGCTGTTAATGGACAACTGAGACATCTCTTCTCTTGTTATGGCTGCTGTCCCAGGGTTAGGGTCCAGCATGTCACTGTCTAGGAAATCATGTGAAGACGCTGCAGCCACTGTAATGGAGCCCCACTCTCTGCCGCGTCCACTGCGACAAATGCGCGTCGATGATGACCGCGTCCATCAGATATTGATTGACCACCAAGAAGACATGGAATTGGGGTGACATCCAACCACCACTCACTTCACAAGAATAAAAATAAAAATGGCTGGCCCATCACGACCCCCCGATAAGAAACAAGCCTCCATCTCGAGCTTCTTCACCCCACGAAACACCAGTCCCTTGGTCAACCTCAGCCAAAACGCCTCCAAGAAGCCGCCACCAGCCGAGTCCAAGTCGACATCCTCGAGAAAACGACCCGAACCCCAAACCGACGACAGCGACGATGAGGCTCCTAGAGATGCCAAACGGCGCAGGTCGAATGGCCCATCAGCAACAACAGACACCGAAGACGCCGTTGCCTCCTTGAAGCTTTCTTCCTCCTCCCGAACAGAACGGTATGCTCTTAACTCGAGCCGGCCCTCCCAAGACGAGGAAGAGAAGGAAGAAGATGCCGCCGAACGCAAAAAGAAGGAAGAACTCCATCGAAAATTCGTCAAGAAGCTCGGTCACCCCGACAGCATGTTCAGCTACAGGCAACGAGACACCGAGTCCGCTGCCGTCGAAGGCGAAGGCGACGAGGGCGAAGACGACGAAGAGGAACCAGCACCCAAGACCACGGCCAAAAAGAAGGGCGCCAAGACGGGCAAACTCACTCCCATGGAGCTGCAGTTCCTCCAAATCAAACGGAAACACATGGATACACTCTTGATCGTCGAGGTCGGGTACAAGTTCCGCTTCTTTGGCGAAGACGCCCGCATCGCGGCCAGAGAATTGAGCATCGTCTGTATACCAGGCAAGTTCCGATATGACGAACACCCTTCCGAAGCCCACCTCGACCGTTTTGCGTCCGCCAGCATACCCGTCCACCGTCTGCCTGTCCATGCCAAGCGTCTTGTTGCTGCCGGGTATAAAGTCGGAGTAGTCCGGCAGATCGAGACGGCCGCCTTGAAAAAGGCTGGCGATAACCGCAACGCCCCCTTTGTCCGGAAGCTCACCAATGTCTATACCAAGGCCACCTATATCGATGAGACGGGCGAGCTGGACCAGCCAGGCGAGACCACGGGTGCTTCCTCTGGTGGCTACCTGCTTTGTCTGACGGAAACCCCGGCCAAGGGCATGGGAACGGACGAAAAGGTCAATGTCGGTATCATCGCCGTCCAACCCGCTACCGGCGACATCATCTACGACGAGTTTGAAGATGGATTCATGCGGCGGGAGATCGAGACCCGACTGCTTCATATTTCTCCCTGCGAGTTTCTCATCGTCGGCGACCTCAGCAAAGCCACTGATAAACTCATCCAACACCTCTCCGGCAGCAGCACCAATGTCTTTGGTGACAAGAGTCGTGTCGAAAGGGTTCCCAAGAGCAAGACCATGGCAGCCGAGGCTTACTCGCACGTTACTGATTTCTACGCCGGCAAGGCCAAGGACAGCGATGAACGCTCAGCAGCCTTGCTCAACAAGGTGCTCAAGCTTCCAGAAGCCGTCATGATTTGTCTCTCGGCTATGATCACCCACCTGACCGAGTACGGCCTGCAGCACATCTTCAACTTGACGAAGTACTTCCAATCATTCAGCACACGCCAACACATGCTCATCAACGGCACCACCCTCGAGTCTCTCGAAGTCTACCGTAACGCCACCGACCACTCCGAGAAGGGCTCTCTGCTTTGGGCCCTGGACAAGACCCACACCCGCTTCGGCCAGCGTCTTCTCCGCAAATGGATCGGTCGCCCCCTCCTCGACCAGCAACGCCTAGAAGGGCGCGTCTCTGCGGTCGAAGAACTACTAAACAATCAGTCCACCGCCAAGGTCGACAAACTAGTCAACATGCTCAAGTCCATCAAGGCCGACCTCGAGCGCAGCTTGATCAGGATTTACTACGGCAAATGCACCCGCCCCGAACTCCTCTCGACCTTACAAACCCTCCAAAAGATTTCCTTCGAATACGCCCGCGTCAAATCTTTTGCCGACACGGGCTTCTCCTCCCCTTTGCTCACATCCGCCATCATGACCCTGCCTTCCATCAGCCCCATGGTCACCGCCCACCTCTCCAAAATCAACGCCGAAGCCGCCCGCAAAGACGACAAGTATGCCTTCTTCCTCGAGCAGCACGAGACCGAAGACATCTCGGAACATAAACTCGGCATCGCAGCTGTGGAACAAGACCTCGACGCACACCGCTCCGAAGCCGCCAAGGACCTGGGCAAGAAGGTTCCCGTCAACTACGTAACCGTTGCGGGCATCGAGTACCTGATCGAAGTAGCCAACACGGACCTCAAGCGCGTCCCTGCCTCGTGGGCCAAGATCTCCGGAACCAAGAAAGTCTCGCGGTTTCACACGCCTACAGTGCTGAGATTAATAGCCGAAAGGGATCAACACAAGGAATCCCTAGCTTCAGCCTGCGACCAAGCCTTTTCCGACCTGCTGGCGCAAATAGCAGGGGAGTACCAACCGCTGCGCGACGCCGTCTCCTCATTATCCACTTTGGACTGTCTCCTGTCACTAAGCACAGTCGCTGCATTACCAGGCTACACCAAACCCACTTTCCTACCCTCTTCCCATCCTTCTTTCCTCTCCATCGACCAAGGCAGACATCCAATAGCCGAACACCTGTTGCCCAATGGGTACATCCCATTTACCATGTCCCTCGGCACTTTGTCTCCGTCCGCCTCTTCCCCTGACCCTAACCCTACCAGTCCCTCTGGAAAGCCAGCCCTAGCCCAACTAATCACCGGCCCCAACATGGGCGGCAAATCCTCCTACACCCGCGCCGTCGCGCTTTTGGTCTTACTCGCGCAAATCGGCTCCTTCGTGCCCGCCACTTCCATGACCCTGACCCTCTCCGACGCCATCTTCACCCGCATGGGCGCCCGCGATAATTTGTTCAAAGGCGAATCGACATTCATGGTCGAAGTCTCCGAGACGGCTGCCATTCTGCGCCAAGCCACGCCCCGCAGCTTGGTGGTGCTTGACGAGCTAGGCCGTGGCACGTCCACGCATGATGGACGGGCGATCGCTGGTGCGGTGTTGGAGTATGTGGTTAGGGACGTGGGGTGCTTGATGCTGTTCGTTACGCATTATCAGGATTTGGCGGGGGTGGCTGATAGTTTGTTACTGGAAGATGGGGAGGGAGGAGGGAAGAAGAAAAAGGGAGTGGAGTGTGTGCATATGCGGTTTGCGAGTAATAAGTCTAAGACATTGATGGATGATGATGCGATGGAGGTTGATGGGGATGGGGATGTGCAAGAAGGTGTAGGGGCCGATAAGGATGAAGATGAGGAGATTACGTTTTTGTATGATTTGGCGCCGGGCGTGGCGCACAGGTCGTATGGACTGAATGTTGCGAGGCTGGCGAGGATACCGAAAAAGGTGTTGGAGGTTGCTGCGAAGAAGTCGAGGGAGTTGGAGGAGGAGGTGAGGGCCAAGAGAGTCAAGGGGGCGATGGGGTTGGTGGGGGGTGTGTTGTATGGGGGAGGTGCCCCCGGTGATCAGGAGGAGAAGTTGGAGCAGTTGGTGGGGTTGGTTGAGCAGTTGTGAGTGGTTACGGGTTAAAGGTTATGACATAAAGGTAGAGAAAGGATCATGATATAGTGTATAAGACTCAAGTCCTTCAAGTAGGTACCTACCTAACCAGCTCTTTCCGACAGATAATCAACACATCAAACCACATCCTGGAAAGCTCCAGAGTACACCCACTCTACTCATCATCGGACGGCCTGCCCTTCAGGACCTTGGCCATATCTTCATTTACCATACTAAACGCACCGCTTCGTTCCCAAATCGGCGGCATTTCAAGCAACGAATCACTGCTGAAACTCGTCTGCACTGCAGAACCAGCGAAACGATCGAGCATATCCCCACCCTCTTGTCTCTTGAGCTTTGGGGCGCGTAGAGGACGTGCTGGACGATTGATCTCTCTTTTCTTAATCCGATCCACAACTTTCGTGAGATCCCCGTGGAGTGCATCGAGGATGCCATCCCTCCGCCAGACAGGCCTGTCTTTTTGCTGGAAGATGACACCAGCGCCGTCAGCGCTCTCGTGCTTGTCCCCGCTCTTCCACCATCCCGCAACATGGTCAGCAAGCCTGTGAGCTAGCACGCAGCACCTTGGTAGCCACCGTAGCTTTATCTTGCAATCCCACTCATCAAACAGATAGTGAGATTGCCAGACGATGGCACGCAGCAGTGGCATAGACAAGGCGTCAGCATCGGTCATGCCCTCACTCTCTGGGACCGGACGTCTAGCAATACGGTTGATGACATCCTTGCAGTCCGAGAAAATGTTCACCGAGACTCCGGAAGAGGGTTGTTGGCGCTTGACTATTGCAATCACAGTCTCGAGTGCCTGTGAGACAGCGGCCATCTCGGCGTGGCGGGAGGAGTAAACGCGGTGTGATCTCCACGACCGAATATTGAAGTCATTTCTTCCCAAATCGTCCTCCTGAGTATTGAGCTCAGGGCGCGTGTTGTTCCAGGCTTCATTGCCATGGCCATGGTCAAACTCGACGGCTCCCTGCCCGTGGTACGGGTTACGGAAGACTACGCCGTAGCCGCCGCGGGCAAGTATTTTGGGTTCCGTGTTTTGCGGGCTTTGGTAGGACCCGTCAACAAACAGATTGAACTGTGGCTTTCCATCCACCATCAACGGGGCTTTCTGTGCTTGTCGGGAAACTTTTCCCGCGCTGCCTTGCTTGTTTTTCTTTCGCGTGGCGATGATGATTTCGCCTTTGAAGGCGCGAGTCTCATCCCACCACAGAGGAATTCGTGTATCACCGCTGGGTGATGGAGACCGACCATCGCGGTGTGGTTTGGTGTCATCAATGGTCGCTTGACCACTTTGGGCAGAGGAAGCAGACAAGAAAAAAAATTCATCAGGCTCACTTGGCGACGTCCTGGGAGGAGGGACAGGAGAAGCGGTGTATGCCTCTTCGACACTGTCGATGGCTTTATCAAGAATTGGAAAGGCGTTCTGGACGGTTTCCGATGCGTTATCGGGGAGTGTCTCTTGCTGAGTCTCGGAATCAACAGTCTGGGTGCTGGATTTGTCCTCAACTTTGGGACGCTTTTCTTGATGATCGCAGATGTCGGCCGAAAAGCTCAGCCTCGAGGGTCTTTTGTGGCTAGTCATCCTGAAAACTTGGAAGCTTTATGGCCTGAAAGTCTGGAAGAAAAAAAAAAAGGACATATTCACTGTTAGCATTCTGATCCGTGAAAGGCAACCACACCTCAAGTGAGCCAGGATCGTGATTCTTCCAGCGCCATGTCACAGTCGTGATCATGAGCAAATGTTGGGAAGGGCCGCCCGTTGAGAAGTAGATCTCTGATTACTGACGCGACTCCTTGAGGCTCTGAATTCCTCAGCAAGAATGGAAAGAGACTGAGGCAATGAAGACGCACGGAAGATACACATACCTTGGTTTATAGACCTAGCTAAAATTGGATGATGAGCAAGCGAGCAGCGATGGTAACTGATGCGCAAGTTGAAAGTAGTAGGTTGCCAGGTAACTGAGACGAGGCGCGACTGAATACCTAGAGAGAGAGGAATGAGGGTCGAGGGAGAGGCAGAGCAAGAGACGGCTGACTGTGATGAGCGAGTGCAAAGGGAACCGAAGAAGGCGGGGCAGAGAAGGCGGGCTCTCTGGCCACGTCATTGACGAAGTCAGAAACGAATAAGGAAGGAGCGAGGTAATAATTTGCCTGTGTTGGAGTGACGACAGCACGGAGTAAACCAGCTCTCAGTTGGAAGGTACGCTCGATTTCTCACCACCAACATATCCACCAAACCTCACAATGCAGAACAACGGCACAAGCACCTTGAGGGAAAGTCATAAAGTACACCATGAAGCCCGCTGAGATCTCGCGACGGTATAAAAGAAAACACATATTTGTTCAATAAGGAGAGGAAAGTGGTGGGGAGGATACAGATACCCCACAGCAAAAAGGAGTAAAAACTAACAAAAAATAATGGGCTGATAAACTCAGTTGCCACCTCTCGGGGTCGAACCTGAGGCCTGCCGTCCCGCCGTATATCCGGCCTTACCATTGCTTAGGAGCAGACGTCAAAGGCTGTGCTACCACTACACCACGGAGCCACTGAATTTACCAGCTGGAGTTGTTGAATACCAGGTGAGGAAGGGGTGCTTACATACCCGTGTGTGCCTTCCTTCCTAGTACTTACTCCCAGTCGCAACTCGAACTCAACAGCCAGGGCACCCAACTTAACCACTTCGCGTGGAAATACTAGTAGCTTTCATGTTCGCTGTCACTGAGTGCTCAAGGGAGCTCTCTCTAGTCGTCGTTATACGTATCTTTGGAGATTTCCCTTCCATCACATATACTTCAAGGTCATGTCGGTCTTCTCTCGTTGCTCCCCAGATCTTTCTTCGCCTCTACTCTTCTCCTTCGAATCCACTGAACTGAGTGTACTTTTGGTCCAACAGTCTCAAATGCTGAAGCCTGTGTTTGAATTTTATCTCGTTCCGTATCGCATTGTAACTGATCGCTGTCTACTTTCTACACTTCTTTAACACATCTGATGACTGCCTCTTGCAACCGAACCTCTCCGAGTGTTCTACACATTCGACATACCAACCTAACAGCCGGTCACCCAAGCCTCCACGAGCTGATTATATACTGCGCGACGCGGACACGTAGTATCATACAGTTAGTACTCCAATAAATATCTTGGGTATGGTAGTACTGATTTCTATTTCTTGTTTTGCTTTGTTTACTTCCCGGGTGGTTAGCCTTTTCTTCCAGTCATGATCCACGGCTTTCCTTACTTGTCTTTCCCTACCCAAAGTCCAAATCACTCATAAAGCTTTCTTGTCATGACATGCGAAAGTTTATAACCCCATGCCTTACCATCCAAAGCCCAACCACACTCGATAAATCTCAACTTCCGACTCACAATTACTCAACCAAAGCTAATTACCATGTTATAGAATCAGCGAGGACTTGCGCAACGGCCCAACGGTGACAGCACGAGGCAGACGCCGAACTTGCGAGTTCACACATGCGAACGATCCGTCATCCAGATCACAGTTCACGTTACAAGTCTACAGTCATCTCACTGCTGAATGTGTACCCTCATATTCAAATTGAACCCAAAATGAAGTCTATAGCAGATAAAACGATGAAGATATTGTGGGGTGACTAGGTACCTATTGATACATATTCTGACTCCAAGACTTGTTTTCCAGCTACCTATCCACTCTTAACTCCTTGTGATTTGGCGTCCGAGGCCCTTTATGCAATTGTCGGTATATTCCTAGCTATGAGAGAAAGAGCTTGGATTGGTGATTGCAGCTGAAATCTCTCAAAGATGATGTAGAACTCGGTAGGCTGGTATATCAGTGTACCACCGCTGGGCGTCGAGCGATGGATACCTGCCTGACACCATAGCGTGGAGCTATTGGCGGCTTGACTGTATTAGTGTGGGAGACGATACACTTCCTCTTTGCCTACCTACCTATTTTGCCAGCCTGCCTGCTCAAACATCACTTTATTCATTGCAACCGTAGAACCAGAAATGGCCGTAAATTTAGTGATCTTGCTTCGTCAATGGTAATGCCTTTTGACGGGGATTAGAGAGCGTGGAGAGAACAGCGCTTGTCTCTTTGACGCTTTCGATAGTTGTATCGAGAGTCCAAAAGCGTTCTGGACGGGTTCCTGGTGCATTCTCGGGGAGTGTTTCTTGCTGCTGGATCTCGGATTCAACAGTCTCGGTACTGGACTCATCAACGTTGAGACGCGTTCTTGATAGTTCGCAAAGGTCGACTAAAAGGTTCGGTCTCGAGGGTTCAGGTGGTTATGCTGGAGACCTGGTGCCTGTATAGGTTGGAAGTCTTAAACAACCTTGGAAGAGATGGAGCAGTAGAAGAAAAACACAGACCGTACTTGTAATGCGGTAAGTGTAAAAGGTGAGAATAGCGGGGCATCTTTGGCCACGTAACTAACGAAGGAAAGAGACCAATAAGGAAGAAGCGAGCACAGGAGTTTTCCTATCATCCTCTGTTGGATACAGCATGTCTACTTAAGTTGGGAGGTACACTCGACACCTCTTACCACTATACCACTGGATAGTATTGCAACTAAACATAAATTAACACTCAGTCTTCAAGTACCCCCCCCCCATCGTGCCTACCTCTAGTAGGTAATCAATACAACGAGGGGGAATCACTACCTAAACACACACACTACAAGCCCATCAATCCTTCCCCTCCTTCCTCCTCAGCAGGCAGCCTCCTTCACAGCCTCCTCCTCAGCAAATTTCAAAGCCTCCTCAAACACCTCTTTCAAGTCTTCCCACTCCTCCAACCCAACACTCACCCTCACCTGCTCCGGCACCGCTCCGTACCCCGCATGATACTTCCGCTCTCTCTCCTCTGCACCCCACAGCAAATCGTTGAAAGGCATAGTAATCGTCAGGTGCGCGCCGATATGGGGACCTTGGTGCACATGCAAATGGTCGTAGAACGCCTTTGCCACTCTCTTTGACGAGAAATCGATGGACAGCAAACATCCGAAGCCGGGGGTGAAGAAGTCGTTGCCCTCCATCTCGTCGTAGGGCGGCCCGGTGGGCGCCGGGGCGGTACTGGAGCGCATGTATTGCTGGTAGTAACCGGTTCCCGTGGTGGAGGATGTAGTGGAGGGAATGGAGGGGTACAGAACTCGGGAGATGACGCGGGGGGGTTGGTGGGTGGTGGAATAAGTGTGCAGGAAAGAGGCGAGCTTCTGGGCGTTGCGGTTGTGCGTGTCGGAGCGGGCGAGGTAGGAGGTGGAGTTGGACAGGAGGTGGGCGGCGTCAGATGGGGAGAGGGCGTTGTGGTGCGTGGTGGTGAGGGTGGAGGAGAGGAGGGAGTAGTAGCGCGAGGAGGGGGAGAGGAGGACTGAGCCGGCCATTACCTTTGTTGATAGTTAGTATGCGCTCTTCGGAGGAAAGAGGTTTTTGTTGAGATACATAGAGGAACGACAAATCAGGGGAAAAAAACAAGTCAGGGAAAGACAACACCCAAAAAGGGGTGAAATCTAGCAAAGGGGAGACTCACATCGGCATACCCACTAAACGTCTTCGTCAAAGACGAAACCACCACGTCCGCCACCGGCAACACATCGAGATTGCAAAACGACCCGACCGTGTCGTCCACAACAACCGGGAAATCGTACTCATCAGCGATCTTCCTCAACCTCCCCAAATCCACGCTCACCACAAGCGGATTACTAGGAAACTCCACAAACACGTACCCCACCTTCCTTCCCTTTTGCTTCAACCCCTTTGCATATTCCTCCAATTGATCCATCACCTTGTCCGAATCCTCGCACTCCCCAAAGTGTTTGAACCCTTCTTCTCCATTGGTGGTAGTGGTCCCCTCCAGTTCCTCAAACAAATGAAACGTAGAATGAAACACCGCTCCCAGCGCCACCACCGGTCCTCTCCGTCCAGCGTTCAAGAAGGCCTCTTGCAAGCGAAAAACAGCCGCCATGCCAGTTGTGTACAAGAACACGTCTTTGGTCGTTAATCGGGAGGCGAGTTCGACATCGCGCGGCATACGCTGACAGAGCGCGACGATTCGTTCACGTAGTTTTTCGTGCGCGTCGGATTCGGGGAGGTATGTTGGTTCGGGTATGTCTTCCTTGATGGGAGTGCCAGAAATGAAATCTGACCCCTTGGCTTTCCAGTCCAATACCTTCATATCTCTACCACCTTGCTCGGCCTCGGGCGAGGAACTATCGCCGTCGCCATCGGAGGAGGTGGGAACAAAAGGGAGGAGAACCTCAGCGAGACGAGTAGAAATGCCTATACCGGGATTGGTCCAGACGCCCATGATCCCTTTTGCTTTGGGTAGTGGGTAGATGACCAGATACAGCCTCACCTTGTCCGTGGCAGTCGCAGTCTTGGTTCCATTCGCAGTCGCAGTCGCATCGGCGGCAGAATTAGGTACGAGAGGCACCCCCCAAAACTCAACAACCCGAAACTCCACTTTCGAAACATCGCTATCACTATACCGATGTTCATCCGCCCGATGGTGCGAAATGCAGTGCGCTGCGGCTAGGGAAAACGCGTCGGGGGTGGTAAAAGGGAGACAACCGTGGGTGGTGGGGGAGATGTCTGACTCTGATTCTGGATACGCAAAAGAGAGGTGGGTGAGGAGTTTGATGCCCAACTAAATAGACATTTTCCTGTTAGCTACTTACCTTCCTCCGAAGTATACTGAGAACCTAAGGACAAAGGGAAGTGAAAGAGAGTGAGTGATACAGGGAAGAGAGGGACAAGGGGAGGGGGGCGAACGAAAAAGAGAGGCACAAAAGAAGAAAGGGGGAAAAAAAAAGGGGCAAACGAACCTCCTTAACACACGAAAGGGGTGAAAACCGCGGATACATGCTCTTAAGCTGCTTGCCTATTTCCTGGTCACCATCGCGAAGCCGGATGAAGGTGTCCCACCCGGGGAGGTGGACAGTGAGGGCGTGCGGAGTATGAGGAGGGAGGGAGTGCCCGAGGGGGGTGGTGATGGGTTTGACTGTCATCTTGACAATTTACTCTCCCAGTAATCGTCGTGGTGGTGTTGGTGGTGGTGAGTGAGTGATGAGAGTATCCAGCTACACTGGCCTTGATCTGTTCCAAAATGCCAGTTAGATTTTTATGTAAAAGGGAAGGTGAAGGACGTGAGTAACTTACATATGTCAGTCTCGTAAGATGTTTTTATCCAGAAGAGCGAGAAAGTTAAAACTAGGGCTGAGTAAGTCGAACGTTTCATTGCATCCCCCCCCCCCACGCGCTGAACCATCTGATAGCCGTTGCAGTCACAGATAGGCCCAGACAGGGGATCGTGGTCCGGCTGCCACGGTAGCCTTCCGGAACTGACCTAAGTAACCTGGGACGCCGCTGAGCAACTCTACTAGGCAGCCGTCAGCCGTCCGTCGTATCCACTGAAACGTTGCTGACAAACGATTATCGCCGCTGACGGCTGTCCCCGAGAGCCGGCTTCGGGGTTGTGAGTTGAGCCCCTGAATTTCCAAAGTCCCAAAGTAAACAAACCGGCGGCTATCGGACACCCCCTCGCCAGCCAGGCAACCAAACAGCCACAGCTCGACTCAACTCAACTAATTAACCCTTATTACTTTATGTCTTCAGCTGTTATTCTAGATCTATACATTACACACTTCTAACCAAAAGTCCAAATCGACTTCTACCAGTTCCTTCCACCTGGCAGTCCCTCCCCTACATCAAACTACTCCTCCCCCCAATCTCATTACTCGCCTGCCCATCCCTCATCTCCCCACTCCTGCCCACCACAAACTCATGATAAATCCTCTCCAACCTCTTCCTCTCCTTTACACTGATCGACGCCCTCGTAGCATCCAGCGCCTTGTACAAATGCTTCCAATTCACCACCACCTGTTGACCAGCATCTTCCTTTCCACTACCAGCCTTGCCATTAACTGCCTTGTTTCCATCCGTTCCATTCATCTGATTAGAAGCAGCAGCCTGTCTAGCCGCCTTCTTCTGCATCATCTTGAGTGTTTCCAATTTAGCGCTAATGGCCGCCTTCTCCGCCAACTCTGCAGCTCTGGTTCTCGGAGCGGAGGTGTTCTTCGCCACAGTGCCGTCAACGTCATCTCCATACCGGAACTGCACAAAGTCGTTCTTCCCCGATGACTTGGACTCCACGCCCCGACGAGCATGCGAAACCATACCCGTGCCCATATCAGCCAAGGCATCATGGATAGCTTCCAACTGCGCATTCGACACCAACGCCTGCAGATCCGCACCAGTGAACCCATCTGTGCGCTTACCCAGTTCCAGCAGATCTTTTTCAGAGGACCAGACTTCCTCTGCCACGCGCACCTTGTGCGTAAGAGCCTTGATGATGTCCAGCCTATCCTCCAGGTTAGGAAAGTCGCACAGTAAAGACTTGTCCAAACGACCGGGACGTAACAGCGCAGGATCAATCAGGTCCGGTCGCGAAGTGGCTGCTAGCACGTAAACACCCGACAGTCCCTCGGCACCGTCCATCTGCGTCAAAAGCTGGTTGACCACGCGATCAGTAACGCCCGTGGAATCGTGGCCACGCTTGGGAGCGATGGAGTCGAACTCGTCGAAAAACAAAACGCATGGCTTGGCGGCTGAGGCGCGCTCAAAGAGGTCGCGCACGGATTTCTCCGAGGCACCGATGTACTTGTTGAGAATCTCGGGACCCTTGACGGAGATGAAGTTGAGACCGCATTCGCCGGCGACGGCGGAGGCGAGGAGGGTCTTGCCGCAGCCTGGGTAGCCGTACAAGAGCAGACCGGAACGTAAGCGCAGAGGACACTGGGCGAAGATGGGCGCGTACTTGGTGGGGTATTCGAGGGTTTCGAGGAGGATCTGGCGCGTTTCCTGGAGGCCGCCGATGGAGGCAAAGGTGGTGGATGAGCTTTGGAGGGTGACGTTGCGCAGGGAGGCTGGTGTGAAGCCGGAGATGGCGGCGTCAAAATCGGCGCGCGCGAGGTGGATGGTGGAGACGTCCTTGTCGAGAGCTTCACCTACGCACCGGCTGAGGGCTTCGTTGCGGGCGCGAGAGATGAGGAGAATGAGATCGCCGGGCATGTAGCCGTCGGTTTGGCCGGCGATGTCGAGGAAGTCGAGGTCGGCGTCAAGGACAAAGCCGCTGGACTTTTTGGAGGCCTTCTTGGACGGGAAATGGTTAGAGCCTTCCATCCAGCCGTCGCCGTCTTCGCCACCGGTGGTGCTGCCGTCGCGGGTGGGCGGGCGACTGTCGAGATCTCCGTCGGCAATTTCGCCAGTGGTTTTCTCTGCCGGCACGGCGTCCTTCTTGGTAAGGGCTTCCATGATGCGGCGTCTGGTTTCCTTGTCAGGAGCACTCAGGTCAACGATTTCACGGGCGACGTGGCCGCCGACTATGACGTTGTGAAGTGAGTCCTTGCCCTGGCAGGTGGCAAGCAAAACGACGTTGCTGTCTCTTCCGCAGTATTGCTTGACCATGGAGCAGATCGCTTCACTGATTTGCCTGCTCCGGGCATTGTCGTTTCCGACTTGCAATTCTTGTTCCGAAGGGCAAAGCTTATCGAGATCATCCAGAACAACAACAGCCTTGCCGCCCAGTCTGGCGCCCCAGCTCGCTGCCATGAAGAGGTGATTAAGAGTCTCCTTGATGTTGGATATCCGGCTCTCATCATTGACAAGTTTTGTGCACGGGAAGTAGGTAGTGTGATATAGCTGGGTTGACCGCAAGGTACGGGCAACGGACTGTGCCACAGATGTCTTGCCGGAACCCTGGCCGCCAGTAAGAAGTACTGATGACATATGGGTCAGGTGCAACTGCAACTTTTCAAGCAACGAATCAATGCCCACAAGCAACGAATCAGAGGTCTCAAGAGCCAAGTTACCTTCGCCCTCTGTCAACCACGCTGGCTTGCCGATAGGCGCCTGAACAGAAATAGGAACCTTCCAGTCAGACCCCATAACCCAGCTCAAAGGCTTCTTTCCAGATGCCTGAGTGGCAGGCGCAGGCTCAAACTTGATGATACCGCCCTCCCAGCCACGGGGGCAGTCAAGCCCATCATAGAGCGCCAGCACTTGACCATCTGTGATAGGTCCAGACAGTAACCCATTGCCTTCAGGTCCGTAGATGTGGTTGACCTGCTTAGCCGCTTCCTCCTTTTCCGCCTTGGACTGACCACCAAACTTTAAACCAGCAGAAACCACAGTCTTGGGTGAAGCAAACGGATAGATGTTGATTTTTGTGAGCGAAGCACGCGAAACACCGTCCTTGTCCACGCTCTTCTTGCCTAAGGGAGACGAAGCCACCTCAAGCTTGACCACTCCGCCCACCATACCTTGGCTTCCCAGTGCCGCAGCCAGAGGCGAGGAAAGAGCAGCTACTTGTCCATCAGGTGGGTCATCCCATCCGCGGAGGTGAGCCACAATCTTGGTTGATGGTGCCGAAGCCGGATCGACCTGTTCTGGCTGAACAGGGGCATCGGTGGTCGGTTGTAGGCCAGCTGGGCGCACCACAGTAACAGATACGTGCTTGGCGCCCTTCAAGTCTCCGGTTGTCAACAAATCGCGGTCAACCCATACGGTCAGATCGTCGGTCGGCTTCTCGTCGTCGAACCATTCCTGGAGATGCTTCCGGTCGATACCCCTCATAAACACGGGCGGCTTCTTGTCCTCCTTCTTTCTCCTGCTTGTGCTTGCCGAACTCTTGCCGCTCTTTTTGGAGTTTCCACCCACACTCCTGTTATCCTTGCTGTTGCGTGTCTTGGAGCGGACCTTGGGGGCCACGATGATCTCGGCGTCGGGGGCGATCTTGGCGCATGGGGCGTCTGGGGGTAGAGGCGGATCGATGGAGATGACCTTGATGTTGGCCTTTGACGTTTGCGACAAGTGTAGGGTGAGGGGATGGGGTATTGAGGGGACGCCGCCGGGAGCGTAGACGGGGTTGGGGATGGCGCGGACTTGGAATAGGAGGTTGTCTTCGAGGAAGGTGCCGTGGAGCTCAATCATCTCCCAGTCGTCGGGTGTAAGGGGCTCGATGTTGACGGTGGTGGCCATGGGCGGGTCGAAGTGGACTGTGGCCATGACCTTTTGTCCTTCCTTGAGGCCCAGGGTGCCGGCCAGGGTGGTGTCGATCTCGACGAGGGGGATTTCCTGGTCGCGGGAGGAAGTCGAGCGTGTCCTGTCGATGCCGTGACTCCCGACCATGGGGTTGACCTTGCGCTTGCTGGGCATGCCGGTCCAGCCTACATAGATGTTTTTGTTGACCGAGGCGGGGGCGCCTGAAGCGATGGCGTCAGGGGTCGACTGGACGCGGTAGTTGAGCTCGACGATGACATTCTGGGCGGGCTGTTTATGAGGGTGGTTTTGTGTCAGCTAGCGTACGATGGTCATCTTCTTCCACTCTATGACTGGGTGTCTTACCGTGTTGACATTGGAGAGCAGGGAGGCCAGTGACGGTGGCAGGTTGACGAAGCAGTTTTGGAGATGGACCAGGGAGATTTCGGCAGCGGTAGACTGCGCGTTCTTTCTGGGAGCCATGGTGGGTGGCTGCTGTTGTCGTCGTCGTCGTCGGTGTCGACTACTTGTTATGGTGGTGGTGGTGAAGCTGTCGTCGTGGTGTTTGGCATAGGCGATGATGAGATGACAGATGAAAGAGTCCTGACCGTACCTCAGCCGGTTACTAGCTTGGCTGAGTCGACCTAACAATTACACACCGAACGGGAATCGGGAATCCGCCCCATCCCCGGGTTCTTGGGCGGAGATCCAGGGGCATGATTGGTGTTGTTTTCAGCTGATTGGGGAGACCTGGAGCCGCGGCTGGAGCCCGATTGGAGCTTCTCCAGCTGTCCCCAGTTTGCATGTGCCGAGGCACGCCAGGACCTGGTTGGTACAGGGGGGTTTCGGGCATGTCCCAGCGCAGGTACACTACAGCGGCGTGTAATTGTTAGGGCGATACATGAGCATTAAGGAAGCCGTCATCTTGAAGGAACAAGATATCCAGAGTTGTAACGATAGAACAAGCAGAATTTCACGGAATAAGGATGATTTGATGATGAACAGCGTCGTACTTGGAGTATGACCTTTTACAAGTAACTCAATGGTGTCAGATGATGTGTTCACTTCACACTCTTATGGTTGACATCCATGAAGCTCAAGTCGAGAA